CCCCCTTTAAAAAGTATGAATTTAATCAGTAGCTCAACGAACAAAACAACAATTTCCAAAATTGTCACCAGGCTAAGTTTTATCGAACACTTGTTTAACTGCATAACATGAAAATAAAGTTAATAATATAACTTGGATCACAAAATTTCAGTTTTACTCAAAATGATTGAAGCAAAAATGAATACACGCTGCAACAAAAACTACTGCATCTAGTATTTTGTATCACCACCATGATTTTCAAGGACAGCACCAAGTCTTCTAGGCATGGAATGCACACGTTGGCAACATATTGCAACATCTATCGTTTTCCATTCTTCAAGAACAACCTCTTTTAGAGCCTGGATGCTGGATGCAGAGTGATGCTCAACTCGTCGCTTCAGAATTGCCCACAGGTGTTCGATTGGGTTCATATCAAGAGACATACTTGGCCGTTCAATCCCCTTCACCCTGTTCTTCTTCAGGAATGCAGCAGTAGCTTTAGATGTGTGTTTTGGATCATTGTCGTATTGGAAAAATTGCACGCCGACCAAGTGCACGGAGTGATGGCAGCATCTTCTCCTTCAGTATAGAGCAGTACATTGTTGAGTTCATGATACCATCAATGAAATGCAGCTCCCCAACACCAGCAGCACTCTTGCAGCCCCACATATGGACACTGCCACTAGTGGTGTGCGGATCGAAATTGAAATATCGATTCTTCCGATACCAGTAATTTATGTTCTAGAATTGATTCTCATATTAAAATATCAATATTTTAGTACTTTGGGGTAAATTTGTAGTTTTTCATTAACAGGAAAACAGTGGATAGAAACTACATCATTCGGATCGTCTAAATTGGAAGGAACTACTTCCTCTTACGCCTTTCATAGTTATATGCGATATATGGCTGTATAAAAGTGCGGCAGCCCCTGGTGTACGCACTCACAACAATGGCTGAGCGCAAATGTGTGGACGCATTTTACCTCCAACAAACAGCCAAGACGCGGTTTGCGATACATGTGTCAAGACAGTGAGGTGTTGTGGCAACAGCACTAACCTCATCAAACACCTCAGAGTAAATCATATCACAGAATATGATGAGCTTATGTTGAGGCAAACTGAAGAGGAGGAGAGGGACAGGCGCTGCTAGGGCGAGACAGACGTCTCTAATGGAGTCCTTTAGTGCTGCAGGCAGGCAACGTGTTCACATAGCGCACAACTTCAGGTTTTTTATTTCTATATGATGAACTCTGCATTATTAAGCAATAAGAACAAGTAGTCTGATGTCCTGTAATCATTATGAAGCTATATTATTATATTATCATTACAATTACATAATACAATTATATATTGTATTATGAAATACAATGAAACATGAAGTTTTTGTACAGAGTATCAGTATCAGATCGATACCACCCTGAATTTTACTTGGTATCGGATCGGAAAGGAAATCAGTGGTATCGCACATCACTAACTGCCACCACCACGTTTCACTGTAGGCACCATGCGTTTCTCGTTGAAATCCTCACCTTTACAACGCCATACAGTTTTGAAACCATTAATTCCAAAAACAGTGATCTTCGTCTCATCACTCCAGAGTATAGAGTCCCAGTAGTCTTCATCTTTTTCAGCATGGGCCCTAGCAAATTCTAGATGTGCTTTTTTGTGCACGGGCTTCAGGAACGGCTTCCTTCGTGGACGATACCCACGCATGCCATTCCTCTGCAGCGTGCGCTGTATGGTGTCACGTGAAACGGTCACTCCAGTTTGGCTTTCTACTGCTTTAGCTAACTGAAGTGAACTTGCATGGCGATATTCTTCAACCCTTCTCATCAGAAGACGCTCCTGTCGAGATCTTAACTTCACAGCCTGGACGTCTCTGTAAGATGGTTGCACTTACATTTTACAGTATTTTGACTGATATGTAAAGCTTTGCTAAGCTTCTTGTAATCCTCACCTTTTTTGTGTAACAAAATGGTGTCCTTTCTCAGATTTTGTCACATTTCTCTTCCACATGGAGCCCTTGCTGGCAGCATGAAATGGGAAGGGCTTTTCTTTGTTAAGCCTGCTGGCCACCTCTTAAATGAATCATTAGACTCACCTCTGGTTGAATGCCTGTTAATTCGAATTTTGTAGTCTTAAGTATGGCTTTTCTCCTAAGACCATAATTAGGGTGTACTCATTTTTGTGACATGGGCTTGAATGAATTTGTTAGGAAAATCACTTTTTTTCTGCAAATTAACAAATCTTGTTTGCAATCAATGGCCCACATTTGTGGGAGTATTTTGTAGTAAAGTATCTCATAGAAAATGTTGATTCTGAAAGGAAACTAAAGGTTTTCTGACATGTAGTGGGGTGTACTCATTTATGCTGAGCACTGTAAGGATAGTATTTGTGTTAAAAATGACAAGCTAGTTTTCTGTAAGGCCAGTAAAAACTTATACTGTGATGAATGACTAAATTTGTATTTTGAACTAAAAAAAGAAAGAAAGAAAGAAAGAACAGGTATGCATTTGAATAATAAAGCAACCACAGACAAATAATCTAAAAAAGTTAACTATAATGAATCCAGAAAGATGATAAATCAAGGCCACAGTCAAGCAAGATTAGAGACCGGTTAGCAACCATCTGACAACCATCAATTGTGAGGAGAAAATGTGTATTCCCAGACCAGTTGGCAACTGGTTGCTTGAGGCGGTTGATCTGAAACTGATTGCTAAAGCTCCATTCACACAGCAGCTACAAACTGGTAAAAATTAGTTTTCCTTAACAGGTTAACAAATGGTTCCTGGAGGTTGCTGAAGGATATCGTGTAAAATTGATTGCAAGGAGCGTGTTGCATTGCAAACCTCAATTCTTGTGGTTGCCATTAGATTGCTGGGCTCATCCTTCGTGGATAGCACCGACTAGTCTGCAAAGGCAAGAACTGCAACACAAACTGGAAACCAAAACCAGCTGCGCCTTTTGAAATATAATAGCTTCAGCAATAAGGCCCAACCTTTGTTCGAAGGCAAAAATTGTTATGTTTTCTGTTTTTCAAGTTTTACTGTACTGCCACCTGACTAGTAGTCATTGAGTGTGCGAGAAGACAGCTTGAAGGTTCCCAGAGGGATGAAACAAAAGTTTTTTCCTCATTTGGTGTGCATGAATGAATGAGAAAAAGACAGGTCTAACAGTAAAGATTCAAGTTTGGGCATAGTGAGGGTGTCTGAGGTGATTTGTGACAAAGTTATAGAGACAAGGCTGACATGGTTGGAATATGTGCTGAGGAGGGATAGTGGATATACCGGACAGAGGATGCTGAATATGGAGACGAAAAGGAGGAAAAGAAGAAGACCACAGGGAAGTTTCCTGAATGTTGTGAAAGTGGACATGCAGAGGGTTGGTGTGACGGAGGAGGATGCTGGAGATAGGATGAGATGAAGGTTGATGATCTATTGTGGCTACTCCTAAAGGGAACAGCTACAAGAAGAAGAAGAAGAAGAGGTGTTTTGATGATAAGTGTTCAAGTGGGACGAGATCCAGTGGCCATAGAGGCCATAGCGTATGATTCACAAAATTTTTAAGATCATCAATGCTTTCATTGGCCCTTCATCAGCCGTCAATAGGTCCACTGACAACCAGAGACCACTCCTATTAGGATAGAAATGCTGTATGACAGGATAAAGGTGATCACTGATTTACAGTGACTTTCCTTCTAAGGTGCTAAACAGGCAAAATTCCTACAAGCAAAGCGCTTCCCACAGTACAACTGACAACCCCCACAAGCTGTTAATGCTTTGTCCTAAAATTTGCACCTGTCTGTACGATTAAAATTTACTACAACTGGACAAATATTAGTCTGATGACGATGCAGTTGTGACAATACAGGTTTGTTTTTGCTTCGGTTATCTTCTAATTAATAACAAAAAAACAGCGTAGGCACACGACACAGATTGTGTATCATGGTAATCTGATTTCACTGTTGTCTTCCAGCTGTCACATTGCTCACGTATTGTAAAAAATATGGTTAGAGCCACACTGGAGTTCTGCGTGTTATCCATCATCAACTACAGAGTATTAAATGCAGGTTAAAAGTTTCAGACTTCAGCATCATGAGCAGCTTCTGTCATGCAAGAACTGAGTTACGAGTGGTGCTCTGAATATTTTTGATAAAAATGGCATATGCATGTTTATTTAAGTGCTGTGAATCCACTACTTTAAAGTGGCTAAGAGCCAGTCATACAGATAATGATATTTCATCCTCTCCGTGATGCATCAAATTGCACACTCTGGGAAGCAAAGCCTGTGAGCTCCTCTAAAAGTCAGCCTACCTTCTACCTTTTCTTTTAGTGAAAAAGCCTCCCTCATCTTTCCATATTTCTCACATATTTAGACATGCTGTCAGGGAAAATCTTAGTCAAAGTCCATCTTCATGTCAACGTTATTACGTGTTAGAAGGCTGATGGCCCATTAATAATGTCTCGCTGATTCTGAGCAAGCTGTGGTGGACTCTACTGAATTATACTCTGTGCAAGTGATGTGACAGCGAGTGGCTATTACGAGCTGCCTGCTGTTTTTTGCTGATCAACAGGGAATTCAGCTAGATCTCAGCTTAGCTAAAGAACTGCAGTCAAGCGCCTCAAGTGCCTCCAACTTCTAGCATTTCCCAAGACATCTGGTGGGGTATACTGCTTCTCAGGGGAAGATGAGAAAGACTTCTGCCTCGCTTTGCCCGTCTCATCATTTTTCGTTGGTAATCTGCATTTAGCGAAGAGTCAGGCAGACAGACCATAACACTAGTCAGCTGTTCAGTAGCTGTGTGCAAACCTGTGTGAAAGTGCAAAACCTAACGTGATCATTCCTCCTTTTTTTATTTCAGTTTGGATTACACCCCCCATCCCCCCCCCCCCCCCCCAAAACTGAAACTGAAATGGCTTTTTGTACTAACCAAATTTTGCAGAGAGAGAGGGGAAGCCTGATAAACGCTTGGAATAATTACTAAAAGTCAGCACTAAATGTATCTATACTAGTGTCATGGTCCGCGGCCTGGCGTCTGAGGTGCTGATGGGATGCCCACTCCCGTGGGCGTGGCCGCTGACTCCACACCTGCATCCCATCCCAGGCGATCACCAGGTGGACCATTTAATCCTGCCCAGCCTGCTGCTTCACGCCAGTCCGTAATCGTCCTTCAGCGGTAACGCACACCTACGGGAAAGTCCTTAGGCAATCCTATCCGTGTGAACTAGTACTAACTCTGCCTTGTATACCCAGATCACTGCTCGGCGTGTTTTGAGTCACCAGCCTGTCCACCTGCCTGTCCAGAATTTGGATCACGATCAACCCCAGCCGCCTCGCCCTTTCTGGAGCTTCTCCCCACGGACCCTCACCCCTCCCTCCGGTTCCCTTGGCCCCGCTATCATCGTAAGACGCGTACACTACCTCCCCTCGTATGCTGCCGGTTTACCCGCACCCCAATAATCCTTTTTTCTTTTTCTGTTTCAGCCTCCCACGGTCCCGCTCTCGGCGTTTCCTGCGCGATTCTTCTCCCGGTCCCTCGGTTTCTCTGGTTCCGTGCGTTTTCTCCCTTCTACTCTCCCGGGACACTCTCAGTTATAATAAAGTTTATTTTTTCTCTCGTACCGCTGTGTGTGTGTTCTGCTCCTGGGTCCAGCTTGTGTGTTGAACTTCGGTTCTTGACAGTACGGACTGGCCAGTATGGACCCAGCAGATCCACTCCGCTCCGCCATTAATAAGCAGGGCGCTATTCTCGGTCACCACGACCAGCAGCTTCAATCGCTCCAGGACCGCTACCAAGAGCTCAGTGACACTCGGGAACAGCTGCGAACCAAGCCGCCCGATCCCGTGCCCCACGGCGTTTCGCCTCCGCCTTTGGAGCCCTTCCACAGGGAGTTAGACCTGTGTGGGGGGTTCCTTTTTCAATGCTCCCTGTTCTTCAGCCGCACGCCACACGCCTTCCCCACGGATGCAGCTAAAATCTCCTATTTTGTAGCTTTATTACGGGGACGTGCTTTAACGTGGGCTGAGGCCTATTTAACATCTCACTCCATTCGTGATTGCGATTACGATGATTTCCTGGAGGAGTTCCGGGCTATGTTCTCCCCTCCGGTCTCGGAAGATGACGCCACACAGAAGTTGCTGGGGCTCCGTCAGGGGTGGCGCAGTATCGCGGAGTACCTAGTCGAGTTTCGTACCAGAGCGGTCGCCGTGGGTTGGCCCGATTCAGCTCTCCGTGGGGTTTTTTTACGGTCACTAACCGACCAGATGAAGGACCAACTAGCTTTTCACGAAGAGACTAAATCCTTCGAAGAATTGGCTTCCCTCGCCCGTAGGATCGATAGACGCCTGCGGGAGAGGGATGCCGAGCGGCGGCTTAAACCTATGGGCTCCGTATTGCGCCCCGGGATCAGTGTTTCTCCGCCCACGCCCACGGCTGCGTGTGCGCGCTCTCCGTCGCCTCCCCCGCCCGAACCCATGCAGATCGGACGCTCTCGGCTTTCTCCGGAGGAGAGGGAATGCCGATTTCGGGCTGGAGAATGCCTGTACTGTGGGAGGCCCGGTCACCGCATCGCTGTCTGCCCGGTCCGCCCAAACGACCGGTAAGTCCGGGGATACGGGTGGGCAGCACGTTAAGCACTACTAGACCCCGATTATTACTGTCCGTTACCCTCGTAACTAATAACCAGACCTTTACATGCTCCGCGCTGGTAGACTCCGGGGCGGAACAGAATCTTATGGATGAGAGACTGGCTAAGAAATTAGCTGTGTCCCTCACACCACTCGAGCCGCCCATCCCTGCGTCCACGTTGAATAATCAAGTGTTTGCTTATATCACCCACCAAACTGCACCCGTACAGTTAGTCACATCAGGGAATCACCAGGAGCAGCTTTCCTTTTTCACTTTTCCCGCTCCTGATACCCCGCTTATCTTAGGTTACCCCTGGCTACAGAAACATAACCCTCGCATCGATTGGGCTGGAAAGAGGATCGCGAGCTGGAGTGTGTTCTGTCTGGCGAACTGTTTGGGGTTGGCCGTTCCCTCCGCCTCAACGAAACGAAATTCAACCCCGCCACCCGCACCGGACCTCTCTTCCGTGCCCCCCGAATATCACGATCTTCGGCAGGTGTTCAGTAAGGACGAGGCGCTCTCACTACCTCCTCACCGTCCTTATGACTGTGCCATTGATTTACTCCCGGGAGCTTCGCTGCCCTCTAGCAGACTGTATAACCTGTCTCGCCCCGAAAGAGAAACCATGGAGAATTACATCCAGGAGTCGCTAGCGGCAGGACGAATCAGGCCGTCGTCCTCCCCTGTCGCTGCGGGTTTTTTCTTTGTGGGAAAGAAGGACGGGACGCTTCGCCCCTGCATCGATTACCGGGGTCTTAACGACATCACCATCAAGAATAAATATCCCCTCCCACTAATTAATTCTATTTTTGACTCACTCCAGGAAGCCACAGTCTTCACCAAGCTGGATCTGCGGAACGCCTATCACCTGGTTCGAATACGTGAGGGTGATGAGTGGAAGACCGCCTTCAACACCCCACTGGGGCATTTCGAATATCTGGTGATGCCGTTTGGACTAACCAACGCCCCGGCGGTTTTTCAAGCTCTAGTCAACGACGTGTTACGGGACTTCCTAAATGTGTTTGTTTTCGTATACCTAGATGACATTCTGATCTTTTCCAAAACACCCGAAGAACATCACATCCATGTGAGAAGCGTACTACAACGGCTGCTCGAAAACAGGTTGTATGTCAAGGCGGAAAAATGTGAGTTCCACGTTTCATCCATCTCCTTCTTGGGCTACATCCTAGCAGGTGGGCAGGTGAAGACCGACCCGGTGAAAGTCAAGGCAGTGTTGGAATGGCCGGTTCCGGAGTCACGGAAGAAGCTTCAGAGCTTCCTGGGGTTTGCGAACTTTTACCGCCGCTTCATCCGGAACTACAGCCAGGTGGCAGCGCCGCTCACCCAGCTCACCTCACCCAAAGTGCCCTTCACCTGGTCCCCTGAAGCCCACGCAGCCTTCGCTAAGTTAAAACAGTTATTCACTTCCACACCCATCCTAACCCACCCAGACGCTGCTAAGCAGTTTGTTGTAGAAGTTGATGCGTCTGATGCGGGAGTGGGAGCGGTTCTCTCCCAGCGGTCTGGGCCTCTGAATAAGCTCCGGCCATGCGCCTTCTTCTCACGCCGACTCACCCCCGCAGAGAAGAATTATGACATCGGCGACAGGGAACTGCTAGCCGTTAAACTCGCTTTAGAGGAATGGCGCCACTGGCTGGAGGGGGCCGCTCAGCCCTTCCTCATCTGGACAGACCATAAGAACCTCCTGTACCTGAGAACCGCCAAGAGGTTGAATCCACGCCAAGCTCGCTGGTCCCTATTCTTCGCCCGCTTCAACTTCACGCTCTCCTATCGTCCAGGATCGCGGAACACCAAGCCCGATGCGCTCTCCCGTCAGTACTCCTCCGACAGCGAAGCGACTCCCCCCGCAACCATCCTACCCGCCACCTGCGTGGTGGGCGCCCTCACCTGGGAAATAGAGGAGACCATTCGCCGAGCTCTCCCGGGAGACCCCGATCCAGGGACCGGACCACCCGGACGGCGCTTCGTTCCTGCTGCCGCCCGTGGAGCTGTCATCCACTGGATCCACACAGCACGATTCACGTGCCACCCAGGCGTGAACAGAACGACGCACCTCCTCAAGAAACATTTTTGGTGGAAAACGCTAATAAGGGACGTGAGGGACTATGTGTCTGCCTGTGCCGTCTGCGCCCGTAATAAGTCATCCACCCAGCGCCCCGCAGGCCAGCTCCACCCGCTCACTACACCCCACCGGCCCTGGTCTCACATCTCCCTCGACTTTGTTACCGGTCTCCCTGCCTCGTCCGGAAAGCGTGTCATTCTCACCGTTGTAGATCGGTTTTCCAAGGCCGCTCACTTCATCCCGCTAGCCAAGCTGCCCTCAGCCGCTGAGACTGCCCAGTCGTTGGTTGCTAATGTGTTCAGGCTCCACGGAATCCCCTTGGAAATTGTCTCCGATCGAGGTCCCCAGTTCACCTCACAGGTGTGGAAGACCTTCTGTTCCGCTCTCGGTGCCAAGGTTAACCTAAGCTCCGGCTTCCACCCGCAATCCAACGGACAGACTGAACGTCTCAATCAAGAACTGGAGACTATGCTACGGTGCGTGGCCAGTCAAAACCCCTCCTCTTGGGTTACCTACCTGCCCTGGGTGGAGTACGCCCACAACACTCTAACCTCGTCCTCCACCGGTCTATCACCTTTCGAGGCGTCTCTCAGATATCAGCCTCCGCTCTTCCCTGAAGAGGACTTGACTCTCTCCGTCCCGTCGGCTCCACACCACCTTCGGCGCTGCCAACGTGTATGGCGCAGCGTTCGCAGCGCCCTCCTGCGTGCGAAGGAACGACATGCGCACTACGCCGATCGTCGCCGCGCCCCAGCCCCTGACTACCAGCCGGGACAGAAGGTTTGGTTGGCTGCTGGGAACATCCCACTCCGGGGCACGTCCCGCAAACTGGCTCCCCGTTTCATCGGGCCATACGAGGTGGGCCAAGTCATCAACCCGGTGGCGGTCAGGCTTCGGCTTCCAGCCTCCCGGCGTGTGCACCCCACGTTCCATGTGTCTCAGCTTAAACCAGTCCGCCTCAGCCCCCTGTGCCCTCCTTCCGCGCCCCCTCCTCCCGCCCGGCTCGTCGGCGGCCATCCGGCCTATGCGGTCCGGCGTATCCTGGATGCGCGCCGGCGCGGGCGCGGCTGGCAGTATCTCGTGGATTGGGAGGGGTACGGCCCCGAGGACCGCCTCTGGGTCCCGCACTCCTTCGTTCTGGACCCTCGCCTCATCTCTGCTTTCCATGCTTCTCTCCGCAGGCGGGGTCCCGGCCTGTCGCCTGGGGGCGACTCTTGAGGGGGGGGTACTGTCATGGTCCGCGGCCCGGCGTCTGAGGTGCTGATGGGATGCCCACTCCCGTGGGCGTGGCCGCTGACTCCACACCTGCATCCCATCCCAGGCGATCACCAGGTGGACCATTTAATCCTGCCCAGCCTGCTGCTCAAAGTCCATCTTCATGTCAACGTTATTACGTGTTAGAAGGCTGATGGCCCATTAATAATGTCTCGCTGATTCTGAGCAAGCTGTGGTGGACTCTACTGAATTATACTCTGTGCAAGTGATGTGACAGCGAGTGGCTATTACGAGCTGCCTGCTGTTTTTTGCTGATCAACAGGGAATTCAGCTAGATCTCAGCTTAGCTAAAGAACTGCAGTCAAGCGCCTCAAGTGCCTCCAACTTCTAGCATTTCCCAAGACATCTGGTGGGGTATACTGCTTCTCAGGGGAAGATGAGAAAGACTTCTGCCTCGCTTTGCCCGTCTCATCATTTTTCGTTGGTAATCTGCATTTAGCGAAGAGTCAGGCAGACAGACCATAACACTAGTCAGCTGTTCAGTAGCTGTGTGCAAACCTGTGTGAAAGTGCAAAACCTAACGTGATCATTCCTCCTTTTTTATTTCAGTTTGGATTACACCCCCCATCCCCCCCCCCCCCCAAAACTGAAACTGAAATGGCTTTTTGTACTAACCAAATTTTGCAGAGAGAGAGGGGAAGCCTGATAAACGCTTGGAATAATTACTAAAAGTCAGCACTAAATGT